TGTAACTTGATTTGCAGTAAGTTTATACATGTATCAAAAAGTTCTTTATTTGAATGAAAGGGTTCTTCATTTGACATATTTTTTAGTTATACTCGTATCAAGGAGTTCTTCATTTAACTTAATTTGTGAATAGGCGACTTAGGTTCTGGTCTACGTACACCCATAGCACATTAATAATATTTCATTCCTCTAAAAAAATATTATTGAAATTTTATTTGACCCTGATTTATATGCAATCTCTAGATTTATTCACTCGATTTATCTCTCTAGGTTGAACATCTAACTTGCGTTAATTAATTTAACTACTTATAGTATGATTAATTAACTTCTTGTACCCAAACTAGTATCACTCAACTTTTATATTATGTCAGAAATTAATCAACTTGTAGGGCTTAATCAACTAGTATTCCCGAATAGAACGTTAGTACTTAATTTGAATATAGATGACTTCTTTGAGAAGTTTCTTCTTCGATCTTCCTTGAAAGAGAATTTAGGCTTGAATAACATTGATTTGATGACTTCAAAACTATTTCTTAGATCCAAAGCTATGAATGATGTCGTGACTGTCGTTGATCTTCTTACCTTTGACCTGAGAGTAGTAGATGACACCTCTTTATTTTGTGGAAATGAATTGTCAACGCCTTTTTTCTTGTTGTGTTTCTTCTCCTTTAAATTTTTACGTCAATTTAATCTGGAGGGTTAGAGGCTTGTGCAACAAAAAATTTTATAATAAACACAAAACTTTTGTACAACTTAATTTTATTTTGATCAAACAATGTGCAAGTACAACCTCTATATGGAACCCTTTGATTCTTCTCTTTGTGAACTTAGATTTGATATTCAAATTTAGATTTGACAATTGGATCTTGTTACACTATAAACCCTTGAACCGCTCAGCCACTCCTCTAGAACCGGGTTACGTCTCTTTGATCGTCGGTACCTGCAAAACACGTCGGGATGGTCCCAGCGTGGACACTCCGATGCTCAAGTCAGTGATGTTCGGAGAGAAAACGACAGAGTAATGAGATAATGCGTATGTGTGTCTTGTGTAAAATGAATAAACCTGCGCCATTTTATAGGTGAGGTCATGTATAGGCCAAAGAGTTCTTGTCGGACCATAACTCTTCCTCGTGTCTACCTTTAAATCAGGTCAGATATGTCAAATCTTCGGAGTCCTTATCGCTACAAACTTTCATGTGACTTGGTCACAAAGCCACCTCCAGGCTCTGGTCGAGCTGTCTAGGTGCCGAGGTGCTTATGTGTCGAGTATCTAGGTGCCTAAGCGCCGAGCCGCATAGGTGATCACATTTGCCTAGCTGTCATCCGCCTAGCTTACCCACCTCTGGTACTCCGCCTAACTCATGCCGAGCTAATCTCTACCTAGCTAGTTGCGCTACACCTAGCTGAATGTGACTAAAACCCAGCTCGGAACCGGTCCTTCATGAACCGCTACCTACGACCACATTAGATCTCCTTCGGGATTGATCTGGAATTTCTCTGCCATTAATTTGAGAGTTGAATGACTTATTCCTGTATTAAGTACTAGGATTTGATTTGATTGAAGACGTCTTCTTGACGGTCTCTATTCTTTGATCTTTATTGGAGAGGGACTTAGACTTACATGTCTCGGATGTTTAAGAACACCTTTGGATCTTTAAGAGAAATTAAGAGCTCTTAAACTTAAGACTTCTATTTATGAGTTGTTTTTATTGCTTTAAGAAGAACCCCTATTTATAGGTGCAGAAAAGATATGTGCTGGAGAAGAAGACATCATTTTGATTGATCCTTCATTATTTGATATAATCTTTCCTTATCTTAAGATGTGACTTGGCAAGAAATATTTATTTTATTAATGAAATATCTTATTTATACGTGTATCAAGGAGTTCTTCATTTGACTTGATTTACAGATAGGTTATACTCGTATCAAAGAGTCTTGTTTTGATTTGACAGATAGTTTATACTCGTATTAAGGAGTTCTTCATTTGATTGATTTATAGATAATTTCTACCCGTATCAAGGAGTCTTGATTTGTAGAAATTTATGATCATGTCCATGAGTTTTAATTTGATTTGATTTAAAGATAGACTAGACTCATGTCAAAAGCGTTCGTCATTTTGTTAGATTTGAAGACAATTTATACTCGTGTAAAAAGTGTTCTTCATTGATTTATTAACCTTTTACACTCGTATCAATGAGCCTTCACATTTACAGACATTTTATGCTCGTGTCAAGGAGCCTTCGAATTTGTAGACATTTTATGCCCATGTCAAGAAGCTCTGTAACTAATTTAAGATCATATCAAGGAATATCATAGATAGTTTAGGCTTATTTCAAGGAGCATTATAAGCAGTTTAAACTTGTATCAAAGAGCATTTTTGATAGTTTAGACTTGTTCAAGTAGTGTTTTAATTTGTAGATAGTTTATACTCCTATCAAGGAAAATTTATATTTGATGATAGTTTTGGCTCATATCGAGTAGCTTTATAGATAGTTTAAGCTCATATCACGGGTCATTTGAATTTGATTTGATGAACTCTTCATGTAAATTGCCCCCATGGAAATTGAATTAGGAAGGACATGTAGAGCCTCTTTTGTCTGCCTCTATTCGGATGAATTTGATGAAATCAACAAATTTTCGGCGGCTTCATGGCTTGAAATGATGTCATCCTCAGTTGCCCCCTTGTACATTTTCTTTAAAGAGGTCTTCATGCATCTTCAAACATTTTGAACATAATTCGAAGAGAAGAGATGAGAGGCAGAGATGGTCCCGCTAGGCGTTCCAAATTTGTAACAATAATTTTATGAATAAAACATAAAACTTTTGCACGACTTAGTTTTATTTTGATCAAACGATATGCGAGTATAATTTCTATATAAAACCCTCTTATTCTTCTTTTTGTGGACTTCGATTTGATCTTCAAATTTGGATTTGGCAATTGGATTTCCTATGGGCATCTTGAATTTTTCTAATGTTAATTTTAGGATCGACTTGTTTATCCCTATATAAATGTTAGTTCCTTATTTAATTAAAGATGATTTCCTGACGGTCTTTCTTCTTTGGTCCTTCTTGGAAGGGGACTTAGACTTGAACGTCGATCTTCAACTTGAATGTCTTAGATTTTCAAAAGAATTATTGAGTGAAACTCGAGAATATGATCTATGAGGTGTGTTTTTTTCTCGTTAAGGAGAGCTCCTAATTATAAGTGTAGGAAAGATAGCTCTTGTTAAGCTCCTATTTATAGCTCAATATTATAAATATAACTAAATTATACCAATCAATCTTCCTCACACATTATCACATCAATCATAATTCATTGTATACTTATGTAATGTTAACTATCCGTCTTAATAACATCTCCTACTTTTGGGACTAAAAGACTATGTTGTTGTAAATACAAATTCAGAATTTTACTCAATCAATTTTGTTCAATCTGAGGATGCGCTGGCGTGGTGGCCTTTTCGCCTCCTCCTCCCCGTACGTGGTCCCGCTCTTGTCAATGAGCGCCATGGCGGACGGAGCTCGAAGGCGGGGGTTGCAGGTTTGGCGTCCGACGGTCGCTGCGGGCTTCTGAGGATGCTTGTGGCGGTAGACCAGCCTTGGTCCTCTCTTTTTCCGGCCTCCCCTAGTGTTCGGGTGGTCGGGACCTCCGGCGGTGGTGGCGCTTCGAGTGCCGGACCAGGAGTATGCGTGGGGGGGCTGTGGCGGTGGTCTNNNCGGGGCGTGCTTGCGAGTCCTGGAGGTGGTTTTCAGATCTAGGTTCGTTTAGTTTCTGGGGCCTTTTTCCGGTGGGTCGCTCTTGGGTGTTTGCTTGGTCATGCGGGAGGCGGGGTTGATGTCTGGTGGGGAGGGTGTTGTTATCTTTATTTTATTTTATGATTTTGGTTTGTGTTGTTTGTTTTATGTTGGTTAGTGTTTTTTGTTTCTTTATTTTTGGTTCTCCCGGTTGGGAGTTTCTCTCATTGTGGGAGTTTTTATCTCCTCTATTGAAGGTTTGTTTCTCCCCTGTTGGGAGTTTGTAGGTTGTTTTTGTATGTCGTAGTTTTTTTTTTTTGTTGGTAGGTTGGCTATAGACTACACTTTGTGTAGTTCTCCCACCTAGATTCAGCTAATTGGCTGGTTTCTCAGCGAATTTGCTGGTTTCTAGTTTGTAGTTTCGTTCTATAAAATCTATTGTTTGAATAAAAATAAAATTTTGTTCAATCTTTATCTCACTTTATGTTATCTCATAAATTCAATCAAAACCAACTTTTTTATAACCAATCACCAATTTAGTACACTAAATCCAGTACAAATAACTATAAATGACATTGGTAATATGGTACATTCATGGGCCATAGGCCACTTGCCAAATCCTCCAATTCAGGCCAATTAAATAAGTTAAGCTGAATTATTAGAAAAAGCTTAAATATTCCATTTAAATAATGCCCACTGATCTGACAACCTGATTCTCACCATCACTAACTTCACTCAAAACTTTTTAGCTTTAAGCTCAACAGTTGCAGACAGCACAACCCAACACAGCTATGGTTACTCGCTATCTGCATTAAATTTACATGTATTCCTCTCATCAACAACTTGCCCTCACCAGCTACCTATGACTGAAAACTCTACCTCCATTATTGTTACCTAATATATCTTGCAGTTTTCAAGAAAAAAAAACACCATTTGCCTAAACTCATATTATACTCCCTCAGCCATCTGCACCCTTCACAATTTTCCATAAAAAAAAAANNAAAAAAAAAAAAACCCCACACTTGTTTAATCAAACCTTGTCCTTTCCACTTTTGTTGGTTGTTCTTAAATAATCTTTACTGGGATTTTTTTGGGTGTTCTTTATTGATACCCTGTTGTTCATCTGCACTGTTCTTGTATGTTTTTGGAAATCTTGATTTCAGTTTCCATTTTTTAAGGTTATCTTTTGTGGTCTTTAGGTGGGAATAAAGAGGTAATAATAATAGCATAAACCCAAGAATAAAAAAAAAAATTTAATCATCTCCATGGCAAGAATATCAAGATTCTTTGTCATACTCTGTTCATCATGGAGCCTTTTCTTGATCTGGGGCACGCATCAGCTCCAATCCTCTCAAACCCAGCTGCTTTTGCAGGTGAGAAAGCATTTGGAGTACCCAAAAGAGCTAGAAAACTGGGTTATTCCTCGGGCTGATCTCTGTTTCCAGTCATCCCCACAAGTGAACATCACATGCCAAGACAACATCGTCTCCCAGGTCACAATATTCGGCGATTCCAATCAAATCCTGTCCAAAAATTTCTCCATAGACTCGCTTGTTGTGACCCTGTCGAGGCTAAACACCTTGAAATCTCTGAGTTTGGTGTCCTTAGGCATGTGGGGCTCGCTTCCTGATAAAATCCACAGGCTTCAGTCTCTCGAATACCTCGATTTGAGATGGAATTTCCTGTACGGCACCATCCCCCAAACCCTCTCAAGAATCACGACTCTTCGGGTTCTCAAAATAGACGGGAATTCGTTAAACGGCACTCTTCCAAGCTCTTTTCCGAATCTGATGAGCCTAAGTCTGAGCCAAAACATGTTGGCCGGCCCCCTGCCGTCCGCATTGACGAAACTTACCTCGTTGACCGACATTAACCTGTCGAAAAACGCGATCTCCGGCGACTTGCCCGATCTCAGCAACTTATCCGGTCTACAATGGCTCGATTTGAGCTACAACAAGTTGAACTCCGTACTTCCGAGCATGCCGAGGGGCGTGACCGTAATTTTGATGAGGAATAACTCCTTGTTCGGGAAAATCCCCGATCAATACGCCGAGCTGGACTATCTTCAGCAGCTTGACCTGTCGTCAAATGCGTTGACTAGCTCGATCCCGGCTCGACTCACCTGTGGTGGCAAGCTCCAGTTGGTCGATATCTCGAACAACAGGCTGAGTGGGGCCCTGCCAGCCTGTCTTAACTCGAACCCAAAAAATATGGTTGTTAGATTTGGCGGGAACTGCTTGTCGGCGGACCAGAGGCACCAGCATCCGGAGGCATACTGTGTGGGGAGTATTCGGGTAAAGAAGGAAGCCGGTGGGGAGAATAGTGGTCATGATAACCATTTAGGACTATTGATAGGCATTGTTTGTGGAGTTGGTTTGGTTGTGCTGGGATTAGGTGTTGGATTTTTCGTGGTGTGCAGACGATACTGCCCTCGGGGGACTTCAGAGCACCACTTGCTGTCGAAATCCGTGAATGAAAGCTCGGTTACAGGGTTCTCGTCCGAGATTTTAGCCAATGCCAGTATGTCTATGTTCTGCTTCTTCTCTCTGTCTGACTCTGACTTGATGAGCCTTTCTGATATTCTTTTTTTGTGGGCTGTTTCAGGCTTTATTGCTGATGCAGAGAAGATGGAGCAGCAGGTATTTCCGGCTCATCGCTCGTTTTCACTGGATGAGCTGAAGGCGGCTACGAATGACTTTGATAAGTTAGCTTTGATGGGCGAGGGCTCGACCGGGAAGGTGAATAAATTTCGTTTTTTTTTATTATTATTCGGTTTTATTTTTTTGTGGATAGTTTGTAATGAAAGTTATGAGTTTTGACCTAAATGAGGCATTCATTATAGACGGCAGTTAATTAAACCGTGTGAATTTGGTGCTAGATATACAAAGGAAGACTAGAGAGTGGGGCCCAGGTAGCAGTACGGTGCCTGACCGTGTCGAGAAAATATACGATCAGGAATCTGAAGCTCCGACTCGACTTGTTGGCGAAGCTTCGGCATCCGCATTTGGTCTGCCTCTTGGGACACTGCATGGAGAGTGACTGTAAAGTCGGTGACAACAGTGTTTATCTAATTTATGAATACATACCCAGTGGCAGTTATCGAGCTCACCTTAATGGTGAGTCAAAAAATCCCCGAAAACTAGCATAGCAGCTTCTGTTTACAGTCCAAACGTGGTTCAAGATAGACTGTACCTTTCCTTCTGTGTTCAAAATTGATGTTTTTTTTTTCTCAGAAACTAATTCAGAGAAGGTGCTGAAATGGTCTGATAGACTGGGCATTCTAATCGGCATTGCAAAAGCTGTTCATTTTCTGCACACCGGAATAATTCCTGGTTTCTACAGCAACCGATTGAAGTCGAGCAATATATTGCTGAATGAGCACCGGATAGGAAAACTGAGTGATTACGGGTTGTCAGTTGTAGCACAAGAGATTCACAAGGACGAGGTATCTATCAACTCTTTGTGCATTGTCTATTAAAATACTCTATATTGCACTCAACTGACAAATCTTCCTCGGTCTCTTGGTTGCTAGGAAGAAGATGGCCTTAAATCATGGTAAGATAACTCTCCGGATGACAATTTTTTCATCTCTCTCTTAATTTTTGCTATCTCCAAGGTTAAGATGTTGATCTGTCTGTTTTAATTTGTAGGCAAATGAAAAGCCTAGACGATGACATTTACAGCTTTGGGCTTATATTACTCGAGTCGCTTGTGGGGCCGTCGGTTCTTGCAAAGACGGAGTCTTTTATGCTCAATGAGATGGTACACAACTATATAAATTTCAGACAAAATTTGTATCCTTCATGAGTTCATTCTCTTCTTAAGCATTCATTCATCTTTCCATAAATTTCTCTACAAATTTTTACAGGTTTCTTTAAGCAATCCGGATGGGCAGATGCGAGTAGTCGACCCGAATGTGCTGGCATCATGCTCCCGAGAATCACTTGCAATCGTTGTATCTCTAACGATCAATTGCATTTCACCCGAGTCGTCAAATCGGCCGTCTTTCGAGGATGTTTTATGGAGCTTGCAGTATGCAGCTCAAGTTCAGGCTACTTGGGACCGGAGACCTGCAAAGACACATCTATCATCTCCATAACTTTTTCCTCATATGTAATTGTGTATAAGTGAGTATGATGATTGCATAATATGGGTATGGTGAATTCAGATATTTGTATCTTGACTAGATATCTTAAATGGTTGTTGCTATAATGAAAACATCTATAAGACAACATTTTTCTGCATGCATCACATGAAATAAAATACAAAGTGTAATGTACATAGTACTTTTTGGTAAATACCAAACTAAAATAAAACAAGAAACCATATTGAAAGCAGGAAAATAAATGAAACATAATAGATCACTAGTTAAATTTTGAGGACATCTATCTTCAACAAACAAACAAATGAGAGGATTTAAAGGGATAAAACTTATAAAGCACTCAAATTATTTAATTTAATCTCAATCTTGAATTCTCTAATAGACAAACAAGATCATAATGTTGGTGTAACAATAATTGATTTTGTACCAATTTTACGTTCTGATTTTCGTGAATCGAAGACTTAGAAAAGAATCTTAAATACCATTTTATGGTGGAAATGAAATTAATTCTAAAGTTGAAGGTGGGAAGATTGAGTTTTTTTAATTCATAATTATGTTTTAAGTAGCTCAAAAGTTGGTTAAAATAATTAATAATAAAAGGACAAATTCGGTCATGTAGGAACAGGGCCTGCCATCCTTGGCACTGGTCCTGCATGATGCCCATTGCACCCGCGACGGTTAGCAATTTTATCCAACGAGAAAGCCTGTCTCGTGAGCAGACGAGCCTGCGACCTCGACGCACCTGTTGAGACCGAATGGTTTTCGACTTGGTTTCACTAGCATAATTCCGCACCGAGCATGCCCCCAGACGGTTTCTTTTGATTCTTAAGCCTACCGGTGGTGTACTCCTATATCTCTAAATACCCCTAGGACTTGAAATATTTGAGATAGAACATAAGATAGGTCATGTCCATCTAGTGTTCATAAGTGCAACTATACATATGATAAAAGTTGCTGTATCTTAAAAATGTTAGTGAACAACAATTGGTTTTTTAAGTGATGAAAATTTTGTCTTACAAAGAGCGTATTTCACATGTCTTGACTTTATTTATTTGTTTGGATTAAACTTGAGTTTGTTTTAAATTTGTGTTCTTGATTCGTGTTCGTTGTGTAATTGATTCATTTGTCTTTATTATTTGTTCTTGTTGTTTTTTGTCATTTCCCAAAAGACTTATAAAAACATGTATCTAAAATGTGTTATATTATATTATCACCCTTTCTCTTTATCCTTTTATCATGGAAGACCCTAGATTGTCTATGAGGAAGATGAAAATACCCAAAGGTGTATGGAGTTTGAAGTTTGGCATTAGATCAACTCCAACCCTGCGCTATGCGCTGGAGTTGTGTTGATTTTTCCGCTCCAACCCTTGCGCTAGATGTTGCGCTATTCCACAGATGTGAACAGTGCATCGCCAGATCTGGCGATGCACTGTAGCTCATCTTTACATTTTTTTTTTTTTGCTTTTTGTTTATTTTTTTATGTATTATTATTGGTATTTTTTGTATAATGTATATTAGTAAAT